CCAGGTGCGCGGGGGCTCGGGGAGGCGGGTGACCCTCGGCCGCGCCCGCGCCCTGCAGTGAGGCGGGTGGGACGTGTTCGTGCCCAGTAGCGCTTTCCTCCTGAGTTGGGCCAGCCTTTATCTTGGAAGGGTGTCGTGGTGGGTAGCGTGTCCTGGCGAAGGGACCGGGGACAAAGCCGCCCCCGGCTCTGCCTGGGCTCCTGCTGACTGGCGGTGCGGGGCGGTCCCACTGCCCCTTCTGTCGGATGAAGCATCTTTCCGTTAAGAACACAGCACTGATGGCCATCCACGCTATCCTCATGACACGCAGAGGACTTTAGAGCTAGTTCCACGAATTACTGTCATGATGTCATGTTTACCCGGGCTTCCCAGGCGCGTGCTCCTCCCTCCAGTGCCACCTGGGCCGCCTCCCTCCCCGCAGCGTCTCAGCTGGTGTTCCTTCACCGAGGCCCCTGTGGGCTCACCCTACCCTCTGGGGGACAGAAGCTCCTCAGACCCACCTTCCCTGTGTGCATTCTCCTGGGCCGGCCCTTTCTGGTCACCCTGAGGAGGCACACAGGTGGTGCGAACCAGCCTATCCCAGTAGAGCTTGTCCCATGGCAGGCCTGCCTCCTAGACACCCAGCCCAGAAAATGCTTTTTATGTTTAGAGACTTGGGGGGGTTTATTCAGTGTTTCAAGACCTGAGGTGTGGTAAAATACTTTGGCTAAGCTGCCCAGGCTGGCCTCAAATTTGCCGTTGTCCTGCCTTGGCCTCCAAGTAACAGGGACCTGGGTGTGCGCTACCATAGCTTCTAAAACATTTCCTTGAAGAGGAAGGGGGTCTTTGGGCCCTTGCTCAGGCTCGGCCTACCCTTCTGTGGCCTCAGCAGTTCTGGATGAGGCTGGGGCCCCTGGTGGTTGTGAGCCTCGAGGTGTGACTTTGAGGGGCAGGTAGGTTGTTCTCACCCCTGCCTACTGTGGCTGTTGGGGTTCCAGGACAGGCCTCTACTGGCAGCTCAGGGAACTCCATACCTGGGCTTCGGTCCCAAAGCAAGGCAGCGTGCCTACTTGCCCAGGACAAGGTTCACAAACCAAAAGCCAGAACCACAGTGTGAATATCCAACACAGGGCTCACAGGACCCGCGGCTGGCTTTATCAGATTCCAGGTGAGCTGGACTGTGCTGGCTCCTGGGCCACCTTGAGGCGTCTTGCTGGGCTAAGGAGCAACTCCCATAGCTAGGAGGGGTGGCGTGCCCTGGGAGACATAGGCCCTGGCCTAGTTCCTCTGAGCCCAGGAGATGGCAAGTAAGGGGCAGATGAGACTGAGGCACCCAAGGTGGGCACCGTCACCCCCCAGCCTGGTTCACTGCCTGGCCCCTCTAGGTCTCCAGAAGTGTTAGTTGAGCCTGGAGTGAGCCCTCCTCCAGGTCTGCCCAGCTGCCGGGTTCTGTTCTCGTGATTAAAAGGCTCAGGGGTCACTCTAGTTAAACTGGGCTGCACGAAATAACCACACAAGAGACACAAATACCTTTTTCTTTGGGGTTGCTGTGACGGCTCCTCTGACCTTAAGGGGCCACAGAAATAGAGCACGCGCTGACCCCTTTTATTGAGGAGAAGCTATTCAAATGAGGCAAGGGGTCAGGTTTCAGGGGGCTGAGTCTGTCTTCATGATGTCCACTGACACCTGGGTAGGCCACACCCAAGGGCATAGTAAGAGAAGGGGACACACACAAGGCACTTTCATGGAAGATTCTATCCTAAACAGGGCAAGGGGTTAGATTACAAAGGAACAGGTAAGCATAGCTTCACCCATGGGGCTGTAGCAAGACACACCCATTTCTGTGACTGAGCGCCTCAGCACCCAGCTGGGGAGTGTAACTCAGTCACCCGTAAGGTTGGCTTCCCACACCCAGCACCTTAAGGCCCTTGGCCCGTAGAACCAACCAGTCTAGGGCTGAGCCCAGCATCCAGTCTCATGCCTGTGGACAGCAGTCCACCCTGTGGTACCCTGTCCCCCGGTATCCAGCTGAGGGAAGCGACACTGCTCACCTTCCCAGGTGGGCTTGTTCCTTGACATCTGCCTTTGCTGTGTTTCCAGCTACCACCACCACAGCCCTTCCCTGGGCATACCGTGGGTTTGTATGGGTTCTGGACAGGGCCCTTGGAGATCAGCATGACCTAGACATGGCCCGTCCAAGTGTTGTGTGCGCTGCTGCCCCTGCTTTCCTTTTTTATGTTCTACTTCTAAAAGAGAAACAGGCTCAGTGCAGAAGTTCAAGCCGTGCAAAGCTGACCAGAGCAGAGTGCAGTTCTGCTGCTGTGGCCTGTTCTCGGGCTGGCTGGCTGGCTGATGGGCAGCACCTCCCTGGGCCTGTCACCAGGAGCAGATGCAGCCACTGTGTGCCCGTGTGCTATTCTGCCCACTGTGCTTGGGGCCTGGCCTCCTGCTGCTGGTTGTGCTGGGGGCGGAGCTGTTGGGGTGTCCACCCCACCTTGATGAGCGGAGCCTCCAAGCTCACCTTCTCAGGGGCTGATTCAGTTTTCTCTGTACTGCAAATAGTGCTGGTGTGTATCTGTGCATTGTAATAAGAACATTTCTGTGAATAAATTAATACATTTCTGTGAGTAAAGCCTGCAGGCTCGAGTGTGTGCTTGGGGCTAGTGGGGTCTTCTCTGTCCTCCACGGGGCTGGATTGTGTGGCTCTTAGACCTGGGCACACAATGTCTGGAATCGTCTGAGGTGGCCTTTGTTCACAGTGCTGTTGGAGCTGCACAAGAACCATTTGGCTGAGAGTGTCATTTGGGTGTGTCTTTGCTCAAGTGGACACCTGTCTGACAGGCACTGGCCTCTGTGTTTGATTTCAGACAGGCCGATGGCCGCAAAGTCTTGCGGTCGAGCATCCGGGAATTTCTCTGCAGTGAGGCCATGTTCCACCTGGGGGTTCCCACCACACGGGCTGGGGCCTGCGTCACATCTGAGTCCACGGTGGTTCGTGACGTGTTCTATGATGGTAATCCAAAACACGAAAAGTGCACAGTTGTGTTGCGAATGGCTCCCACCTTTATCAGGTAATGCTGGTCCTCCGGGCCTGCCTGCACGCCTGCTTGTAGAGTTACTGCGCTTGTGCAGCCGGAAGGTCGCGCAGAACAGAGGAGCCAGCAGACTGGTATTCCATGCCCCAGGAAAGACTCAGTGCAGGAGGTTGGTTGTCCCATCCTGGTAGACAGTGGGGCTGGCTGGACAGAGGGACCCCACAGGACCATGCCTGGGAGGAGGGGCTGTCCAAAAGGAGATTCCTAGGAGTGTAAGACAAGGAACTACCTAAAATTGGCCAAGGAAATGGGCTCAGTGTCATATAAACAAACAGGCTGATAAAAAGCAGGTGTGCTGTAGTCCTTGTGGTCATCCTTACCTGTCCAGACGCAGTCCAGCTGCTGGGTGACCGGAGTCCTTTCTGGTGCTTTCCTACCCCAGGCCCTGGGCCACACAGTCCTCGATGCTCCCTGCTCTCAGGCCCTCTCAGGACAGCTGAGAACAACATGTAAACATCTGTATTTATTGAAAACAATAACGAGTTCACCACAGTCTCTCAAGTGCTGAGGAAGGTTGTTTTGCTTGGTACTGAGGATTGATTAAGCCCAAAGGCACTCAACCACTGAGCCACATCCCCAGCCCCTTTTTTTATATTTTATTTAGAAACAGGGTCTCATTAAGTTGCTTAGGGCCTTATTCCTGCAAGCCACTGGGGTTACAGCCGTGCGCCAGCGCATCTGGCTGGTTTTCCCATACGTGTAAAGCTGTTTCTGACCATGAGGAACCTCAGCATTATCCTCATCTCATCTCTGCCATCACCTCGCTGCCTGACTTCTGGCACCTTCAGAACTGGTTCCCTGAACCAAGAGCTGGGCTCACCTTGTGGTTCTCCCATTCTGCCAGGTCCCCAACAGCCACCAGCTGCTCATGCCTGAGATAGACTGTGAGCGTCTCTGGCCTTTCTGACCAGAGGGGGAGTGGGAGGAACCAGGGCCCAGGTCTGCCTTGTGGTGGCTCTGATGATGCCTGCTGGAGGCTGTTTTGTCTCTGCAATACCCGCAGCCTCTCGGCCTCGGCCCACTAGTTGCCAGAAGCAATCCCAGTATGACAGCAACCGCCTGCAGCCTAGAACCCACCCTGTCCTCCCTGCCAGGATGCTGGAGTAGGGCAGAAGAAGCTGTGGCCATCTCTGGGCTGCCAGAGTAGGAGCTGTCTGCCTGAAAATGAGCCAGGATCCAGGTGCACCTGGGCCTTCAGAGCTGGTGGCCTGCTGCCTGACCAGGGTGCTTTCCTGCAGGGCCTCAGCTGGCTTCTTTTTTATTTTTCTTACAAGGTGCTGGGGTCTCTGAATTGTCAAACACCTGGGTCTTCCCTCCAGGTTTGGATCCTTTGAGATTTTTAAGCCTGCTGATGAGCATACGGGCCGTGCAGGTCCCAGCGTGGGGCGGAATGACATCAGAGTCCAGATGCTTGACTATGTGATTGGCTCTTTCTACCCTGAAATCCAGGCTGCCCACGCCCACTGCAGCGACCATGTGCAGAGGAACGTGGCCTTCTTCCGAGAGGTAGGTGGAGGCCAAGCACCCACGGGCCCCTATGCCCAGGAACTTGAGGCCTGTTTCAGTCAGTTTTTTTGCTGTTGTGACCAAAAGACCTGATTTTAGAGAAGGAAAAGTCTGGGAGCTCATGATTTCCGAGGTCTCAGTCTAAGTCAGCAGGCTCCACTCCTCAGGGCCCCAGGTGAGGCAGAAAGAACATCATGGCAGGAGGGTGTGACGAGGGAGGAGCTCAGGACATGGCACCAGGAAGCAGAGAGCGGGAGAGCTCAAGACAGACACCCCCAAGGCACACCCCAGTGACCCCTCCTCCAGCCACACCCTGTGCCTTCAATCACCACCAGCTCGTTCCCACAGGCCATCAGTGCACTGTGCCAGGGCCCTCCCAACCCAGGTACTTCGCGGTAAGCCTTCCTGCAGTGTCTGCACATAAACTTTTGGAGGACACTCCCATCTAAACCATAGCAGGGCCCCACCCACTGCTGAACACAGTCATTTCAGCCATGGACAAAGCTTTTGCCCAGGTGCCATCCTCTCCTGCAGCCTTGTGGCTTGGGCATCTGGCAAGCACACTAGTCAGGCTGTGAGCACTGCTGGGGCCCGGGGCACTGTGGTACTTGAGTGTCCTTGAGGGGTCTGTGTGCTGGGTATATCTGCAGGAGCCAGCAAGGCCCTGGCCTGGGGAGAGCGTTGGAGGGGAGGACTGGCCTGTTGTCATCTGGGGGAGACAGGGATTGCCCAAGTTGGGTCTGGGCCCTGCCAGGTTTCTTTTCTCGTGACTAAAAGGCTCAGGGGTCACTCTAGTTAAACTGGGCTGCACGAAATAACCACACAAGAGACACAAATACCTTTTTCTTTGGGGTTGCTGTGACAGCTCCTCTGACCTTAAGGGTCCACAGAAAGAGAGCGCAAGAGCAGGCACTGACCCCTTTTATTGAGGAGAAGCTATTCAAATGAGACAAGGGGTCAGGTTTCAGGGGGCTGAGTCTATCTTCATGATGTCCACTGTCAGCAGGTTGACTGACACCTGGGTAGGCCATACCCAAGGGCATAGTAAGAGAAGGGGACACACACAAGGCACTTCCATGGAAGATTCTATCCTAAACAGGGCAAGGGGTTAGATTACAAAGGAACAGGTGAGCATAGCTTCACCCGTGGAGCTGTAGCAAGACACATCCATTTCTGTGACTGAGCACCTCAGCACCCAGCTGGGGAGTGTAACTCAGTTACCCATAAGGTTGGCCTCCCACAGGGCCCCTGCCCCTGCCACAGACAGCACACTCGTCAGGTTATCACCTGGTCTGGCCCACAGCCTGCAGCCTCAGTGGGCAGAGGGAAAGAGGAAGGTCCAGGCCAGGTAAGGTATGCAGGGGTCGTCTCCAAGGGCCAGACCACCATGGAGCCACTGCAGCCAGGGCAGGTTCAGGCCCATCTGCCCAGTGGCTTGGGCTGGGCCACCACAGGTCAGCAGCAGTGGCTCTAAGCAGGTGTCGGTGGGCCCATTACACAACAGGTCCCTCCTCTGGCCGGCTCAGCCACATGGCACAGGTGTGGGTAGGTGGTCTGGTCAGCTTGCTCCATCCCTCTGAGCTTTGGTCTGACAGTGAAGCTGAAAGGACAGTGCTGCCCAGTTCTCGGGAGCATCTGTGCTCTGACATGAAACAAGACACATGCAGGACCCTGCTGGGCAAGGGCATGGTAGAGTGAGGGCCCTGGAGGCAGCCCGCATCCTGAGACTCCTGTTCTCCAGCAGCACATGTGGCGGGAGTGCTGGGTGAGCAGCAGGGCTGGTGGGCACACCCCACCATGTGGCACCCAGTGTGGATAGGCAGCAGCTTGCAGGGCACCTCAGCCTGGACCCAGCACATTGTGCCAGGTGGCATGTTCCTTACTGGTACCCATGGGGCCTTTATTTATTTATGAGAGAGAACTTTTTAATATTTATTTTTCAGTTTTCGGTGGACACAACATCTTTATTTTTTAATTTTTATGTGGTGCTGAGGATCGAACCCAGCGCTCCACACATGCCAGGCGAGCATGTTACCGCTTGAGCCACATCCCCAGCCCCCCATGGGGCCTTTATAATGGGCCCAAGTCTGCCCAACCAAATCGGTTGCCTGATTTTTCTGGTTTGGTTAAAAACCAAAATGGTGAGCATATGAGGAACGGAAGGTGGTGTAAGTGGCAGCTGAGGCCCCACGTGCCAGCTTACCCAGACACACCTCTCCTGGAACACTGAGCAGGGACTACAGGGGCCCTGGGTAGAGAGCAGGAATCACTCAGAACACTGCTGGCTTTGGGGGGGTGGGGCAGGACCAGGGAGGGGGCTGCCAGCACCTGTCCTTCCCCAGGTGATACGACGCACAGCCCGCATGGTGGCCGAGTGGCAGTGTGTGGGCTTCTGCCATGGCGTGCTCAACACTGACAACATGAGCATCGTGGGGCTTACCATCGACTATGGGCCTTTTGGCTTCCTGGACAGGTGAGCCGTCCCTTGGGCTGTAAGTGGTGAGCTATAGGCAGCCTGCTGCCCACCTAGGAACTAACCCCTGAGGTGCAGGCCCCAGCCGCAGTCACAGGGTGAGGGAAGGCAGGGAGCATCTGACCTGGGGCGTGGGGATTGTGTGCACAAGTCTTTTTTCAGTGTTTAATTCTTAACGTCTGACTGGCCATTCCTGGAAGCAGGAATCTCCCGGAGGGTTTTGAGCAAAAGCAGTGTGAGCTGTCTGTGCATTTTAGAAAGGTTCCCTCCCCCGTGGGGTTGGGCACAGGTGGTGGGCAGGATGTCAGGGCTGTCTGGCCCCTGGCGGGCTGAGGAGAGCCCAGCTCTCCTGCACTTGAGGTGTAGGTAGAAGAACCAGAGCCATCCAGGGTCAGGGCAGGACAGGGTGGTGGCCACACAGGGCCTGCCCTCTGGGTGTGTCCTTCACAGCACCACAGTCTGGCCTGTGTGGCAGGTATGACCCTGACCACGTGTGCAATGCTTCGGACGACGCCGGGCGCTACTCGTACAGCAGGCAGCCCGAGGTGTGCAAGTGGAACCTGCGGAAGCTGGCGGAGGCACTGGTGCCCGAGCTGCCCCACGAACTAGCTGAAGCCGCCCTAGAGGAGGAGTTTGACTCTGAGTTCCAAAGGCACTACCTGCAGAAGATGCGCCGTAAGCTCGGCCTCGTACATGTGGCACAGGACGGGGATGGAGCACTGGTGGCCAGGCTCCTGGAGACCATGCACCAGACTGGTGAGTGGGCACACGTTGCAGCCAGTTCTGGCATTATTACTGTGGGCAAATTCGCAATTTTCTCTTTTCACCTTTTTTTTTGTGGGGGGCAGGTACTGGGGACTGAACCCAGTGGTGCTTTACCACTGAGCTGCACCCCGAGTCCTTTTAGAGACAATGTCTTGTTAAGTTGCTGAGGCCTTGGACTTACGATCATTCTGCCTCAGCAGCTGGGCTTGCAGGCCTGGCCCCTATTGACCATTTTAGAAATACATACTCAGTGGCTTTGAGCACGTCTGAATGCCAGGCAGCCACCACCACCATCCTGAACCCAAACTTGGCCTCCTTGAAACTCCAACCCTTACAGCCCTCACAGCCCTGACACCCACCATTCCACTTTCCAAGTGTGACCATGACTGGCTCTTGTAGCATATGTCCAGACCTTATTATCATTATTATTACTTTTGGTACTGGGGATTGAACTTGGGGACACTCGACCACTGAGCCCCATCCTCAGCCCTATTTTGTATTGAGACAAGGTTCCAGTAAGCTGTGCAGATGGTGTTACAGGTGTGGCCACTGTGCCTGGCAGAACCTCCTGTCTGAAGGGGAGCTCCACCTCAGCCCCTGCAGGCCCCATTCCACACCGGGCACTTCACAAATGAGAGTGGGCAGTGTCCTCCATGAATTCCCCCTTCACTCCCCACCAGTGACACACACTTGCACATTTGATGCATCCCCTCCTCTTGTCTGATTTTTTTTTTTCGGGGGGGGGGGGGAGGTACTGGGGATTAAACTCAGACACTCGCCCACTGAGCCACATCCCAGCCCTGTTTTGTATTTTATTTAGAGACAGGGTCTCACTGAGTTGCTTAGTGCCTCACCATTGCTGAGCTGCTCGGATTACAAACGTGCGCCCAGCCAATTTTGTTGATCTTTTACTACAAGAACCAACTCCTGCTTTCATTGTCTATTACTTTTCCCACTGTTCATTTCCCCTCTGATCCTTATAACCAGATTTCTTTCACTTTTGCTAATTTTGGTCTTATGTTCCAGGTCAGACTGGGCACCTTAGCAAGACTGTCTCAGAATTAAAAATAATCTTAAAAAGGTCTGTGGATGTAGCTTAATGGTAGAGCACCCCTGGGTTCAATCTCTGGTACCACCAAAAATTATGATTCCCTTTTCCTTCCTGTTAATGAAACTAACAGGACAGAGCACTGAAGTGGTATCTAGCTTCATCCCATTGTGGCCTAGACAGTGCCCGCGGCAGAAGCCCCTGTGCACTTCAGAGCTAGGGTATTCCCTGCTCTTGCCCAGATGGTCTGCGCATTACTGAGTGCCATATTCTTAGAAGCCAGCACCTTCTGTGGAACTGCTGTTTCTCCTCCAGCTTCGCTAACTACGTGCTTGGTCACTTCCACATCTTCCTGATGTGGTGGCTGTGCTGTCTGTTACAGTTTGGGCCTGGCCTGTTTTGTCTGACTTCAGAGTGGCCTCAGCCCCTTGGGTCACATTGCTTAGGAGTCTCATCTTGTCTCAGGCCAGCCCCTATGGACAGCATGTGGTCACCTGTCTCTGGATCCATGATGCAGACATGGTTACCAAGGGAAGCACTTGGGCTGTTCTGCTCTGTTTTCTGTATGTCTTGAACTTTGTCCCTCATTCTCCATGACTGCTCTTGTTGACCACCTCCCTGCCCATCCCCGCCCGAGCATGCTACTTTGGTCCCTTGTTTTCTTTAGTTTCCTTCTTAGGGGATGCCATGGTTCCTGTGCCCAGCCTTGACACACAAGGCTGAGGGTGGCAATGGCTCCCGTTGCAGGCAGGGACAGCTGTGTCTGTTATCTGTTTCGGGGACAACCTACAGAATCACAGGAAACCATAGCAGATGAGTGGTAGCTGAGGGGTCAGGGCCCAGCACACACTGGAGAGGGGACATGGGTTGGCCTCGAGGGAGTGTGGGGCTGGCGTCTACCAGCCTCCACCTGAGCAGCTTGTGTACAGGTGCCGACTTCACAAACACCTTCTCCTTGCTGAGCTCCTTCCCCATCGAGCCACAGTCACCTGGCTTGGCTGAATTCCTGACCACCCTGACCTCGCAGTGCGCCTCCCTGGAGGAGCTGAGGCTTGCCTTCCGGCCCCAGATGGATCCCCGGTGGGTACTTTCTACCATGGGGTTTGCTTTCAGAAGGGGACGGGCATTCAGAAACAAAGATCTTGGGGATGGCTGGAGACGGCTAGTCCTAGGGGACCCACACAAGCCTTCTCCTGGGAATGGGGGCAGTTAGGTCCCAACTGTGACTTGGGCCTGTTGGTCAGAGGAAAGCCCAGGGATACGGATGTGGGTGGGGCACAGGTTGGATGGGGATAGTGGGCATCCAGGCAGCTGTGGTATACCTGGCAAGAGCCTGCAGCACTCAGATCCCAGGCAGACCACACCTCAAGATGCTGCTCAGACTCGGGATGAGACCCCGGCAGTGCTGGTGGTGGCTTCTGAATAAGAACCACAGGCCGGTCACACAGAAAGGAGTTTAGTGGGGAGTGACAGGCATTATGCTCTGGGGCTGGTGATTATCCAGGAGGACACGCTTTGTTAGCATGTGAGCTGACACCCCAAGCAGCAGACCTGCAGCTGGTGCCCACCTGGGGCAAAGGATAGCGGCCCTGGCTGCAGGCTCATGCCTCCTCCCCCAGGCAGCTCTCCATGATGCTCATGCTGGCGCAGTCGAACCCACAGCTCTTCGCACTCATTGGCACCCAGGCAAACCTGGCAAGGGAGCTGGACCGTGTGGAGCAGCAGTCACGGCTGGAGCAGTTGAGCCCCGAGGAGCTGCAGAGCAGGAACAGGGGCCGTTGGGCTGACTGGCTGCAAGAATACCGGTGAGCCCCGAACGCAGGGTTGCAGGGTGCCTGCTGCTCTGTGCCGCGGCCACGGCTCAGGTGGTTGCAGATGATCCTGCATGGGCGCCCTGTGGCTGCTCCTGCTGAAAGAGCAGCTGGGCTGTGATTCCAGAGTCCGGCTGGAGAGGGACATGGAGGGTGCCGGCGATGTGGCGGCCTGGCAGGCAGAGCGAGTGCGCGTGATGAAGGCCAACAACCCCAAGTACGTCCTGAGGAACTACATCGCACAGAGCGCCATCGAGGCCGCCGAGAAGGGGGACTTCTCAGAGGCAAGCATGCCCCTGTCCTCACTCTGTCCCTGGGAGGGTGGGCTGGCCAGCATCCCTCACCTGGACTCTCCCTCCAGGTACGGCGGGTGCTGAAGCTGCTGGAATCTCCTTACCACAGCGATGGGGAAGCGGCTGGAGGCTCTGAGGCTGCGGAGGCAGTCCCTGGGGGACAGTCCTATAGCAGCAAGCCCCCACTCTGGGCAGCAGAGCTGTGTGTGACATGATCCTCGTAGTGCCTCGGCCTCTCCTGAGGCGCTCAGTGCTGCTGAACTGCCGAGATGTGCCAGGCTGCCCCTAGCTTCTCTCCATGATGGCAGAGGCCTCCAGTCAGACCCTGACCAGTCTCTGTTGGAAGCCAGCTCAGCAGCACTACCTGAGTCCAGCTCTCCGAGTGTGGGGACAAGGGCTCCACCTCCTTGCAGGTGATGCAGAGGGGGCGAGGCCTTGGGGCAGCAGTGGCAGCCCCCTGTCCACCTCATCCTCAAAGAAGGTCTGGGCCAGGTCCCTAAATAAAACTCAGCTTCCTCAGGCCTGTGGCGGCTCTGCCTCCTTCCCTGCCCAGCCCCTGCCGGGAGAGGCTCCTCAGGCGTCCTGGTAGTAGCTGTTGAAGTTGATGCGCAGCAAGAAGTCCTCGAGGTGGGGCTGGTAACCACGGTTCACCAACTTGGTCACCACTGTGGAGGCAGCGGGCTGCTCAGGCTTCTGCCCTGCCTGTGCCTGGCTGCCCCCACCCTGCCTGGCCAGGGGAAGGCTCACCTTTGAAGAGGAAGTGGGAGTAGTACTTGAAGGTACTGTAGGACTGCTGCATGAGAGCAAAGTTGGGGTGCTCAGCACCCTGGGGGCCACTGGCTGGGCCCCAGGCCTGGGAGATGAGCTGGCTGCGGAACTTCAGCACCAGGCTGAAAATGCTATGGATGATGTTCATGACCGGTGCTGCCTTCTCAGTGAGCAGGCCCCTAGGGAAGGGCAGGGCTTCTGGTAGGCTGCTGGCCTTGCAGTGTCCCTCCCTTGGGTGTCTGGGCCTCACCTGAAGACAGCCTTGTGCAGATACTCTGCATGGGCGCGCTGGATCTCCTCAAGGTTGCCCACTGTGGCCAGCCGGGCCCTGAACTCACACCAGCTGACATGCAGGATCTGGTTGGCGATGTAGCCCTGGGTGACCTTCACAAAGTGCTGCATCTCGTGTTTGAACAGCTGCAGCTGGCGGAACTGCACTGAGCCAGCTGTGTGGCTCACCAGGGCTGGCAGAGGACAGAGGGTGAGCACAGCCTGGAGCCCCCACACAGGGCAAGTGGCTCCAGAAAGACCTCACCTGTGCGCTTGAGGTGGAAGCAGATGTCCTTGAGCGTCCACATCATGAGCTTCAGCTGCAGCAGGAAGGAGAAGATGCCGCTGTACTTGCTCAGGCAGTTCTCGGTGATGACGATGTTGAGGGGCCAGTCGACCTGCTCGGGAAGCCCTGGTCAGTGCTGGCCCCACAGGACAGGCCTCCCTATGACGGCTGCTCACGATGTGCTGCTGACCTTGTACCTGAGCTCCAGGCAGCTCAGCACATCCGGGGCATTGGGAGCAAACACTTCAGGCAGGTACTTGAGGGCGAAGGAGAGGTTGGTGGCATGTGGGGTGTCCCCATGGAGGCTGTACTGGAGGGCCTTGCTCAGGATGCAGTTGAGGACCAGTGGGTTGAGCAGTTCCCCAGGTGTCTGCCCAGCCCCGAGCTGAGGCAGGAAAGGGACAGAGTCCCCAGGAGTGCCAAGTACAAGCCAGGCCTCCTAGGTAGGGCTGGTGCCTGCCTGGTCACCAATGCCCCAGGCTGTCCCACAGTCAGGCAGCCAAGCTCCAAGCTGCCAGGGGCTGTGGTGTCTGGAGGGCAGCCAGGGTGGGCCCCGGGCCAGCACCAAACTGCCGCTATTGTGGGGCTCCCCTCTGGCACAATTCCCCCCAACTCCACAACCAGGGTTCACCTTCTCAAAGAGCAGGTCACTCAGGGACTGGGCAAACTCCCCATCCTCCATCAGCAGGAAGTGCCGCAAAGCCTCAAAGTGCGCCTCCAGGTGCAGCTCCGCAAAGAAGTAGTCAACTGCAGCTTTGTTCACCAGGGAGACGCTGGGGCGGGGCGAGGGGCGGGGTCATGACGGGCGGGGCGGGGCCGTGACGGGCGGGCGGGGCGAGGAGGGGCGCACACTCACTGGGCAGCCAGCGGGGCAGTAAGGGAGCGCTGCATGAGCACCGGCAGCGTCAGCAGCTCGGTCAACTGCACCGTGGTCTCGTCCACAGCCGACTGCACCCAGGGGTCCACGGGGAAGGCGAAGGCCCGGGGAAGCACGTGGCGTACCAGGTGGGCAGCGGGGGCCTCTGCTGCAGAGAACAAGGCAGCTGTCATTGCAGCATGGAGGCGCACTGGCCTGGGGCTCCTGCCTTACCAGCGGGTGGACAGTGACTCACACATGGACTCGTAGCTGTCCGGGTACTGCTCCAGGTGGTACCGACTGGCCAGGCCTGCCACATAGGCCTGCTCCTTGCCCCAGCGCAGCGCCTCCACCTCAGCTGCTGCCTCAGGGCTGCTCGGGGCAGCTGTGCCTTCCTGAGAATCCAAACTCAAGGTGGGCACCCCGCCCAGCAGCTGCTCCCAGGCCCCCTTGGGTTTGTGTTGGAAAAGGGCATGTGGGGCTCCCTGCATGCTCCCCTCCCCAGGCTGTGTCCTTCCAACCTGAGAGTTTGGAGGCCAGCTTGGAGAGAGGTCATCATTGTCACCATTCTTCCCTGCACCTGAGTGGACACAAATGAGTAGAAGGGACATCAGAGCTGAGCATCTGCCCAGGATACACAGCATGGGTGGCCCAGGGAGTCCCCACACATGCCCCACAAGGGATTTGGTCCTGGTTAATAGACTTGGCACCTAGGGGCAACTTTCCACACTCCTGTGCCCTCCCCAGTTTGTGGGCCCCAATGTCCCCAGCCTGACCACCAACTGTTCCTCTCTGACCTGGCTCCTCAGAGACACTGTCTCCCAAAGTGCTGGACTTGGACGCAACAGAGGGCAAGTTCTGCAGGCTGCCCACTTTGGGACAGCAGATGGAAGGCTCCGTGTCTACAGGTAGCCGTGGCCCATGTTCCAGGGCAGGGTTCTGTACTTCCAGGCTTGAGCCTGCCTGGGACTCGTGGCTAGGAGGGTTCTGGTGGGGCCAGGGTGGGATGGGCTCAGCTTCTAGCATGTTCTCCCCCACCCTGATGCTGGCATCTGACACGTGCCCGTGGACGTTCCACCGCGGCCGGGAGGGAGCCACGTCTGGCATGTTCTCCCCGACTCTGATGCTGGCATCCGACACGTGCCCGTG